AACCAATAGGCATAATAATGTATTAAAACAAACAAGAAAACAATTAACTTGTTGAAATATCCAAATAACAGAAACAGGTAGATCATACATGCAAGCGAGCCTCTCATAACTCTTTTCTAAATCTGAATATGTACTTTTATTTTCTATTTTTTTTACCATTTTCTATGACCTGAATATAACATAATTAACTTATTACTTACATTCTAGGGTTTTGTGCTTTTGTAAAAACAAACACATAGTACATTAGATTATCTTATGTTTATTTATCTAACTATAGTACATTATTGTTATGCACATTATAAACCATATAAGATATCATATATATCTATCATTCTAAGAAATATGAATGATATATGTTACTATAAGAATCATAATAAAATAAAATATGTTGATTTCTTTTTTTACAAGTACATTCTTTGTTACTAAGCAAAAAAATGTTTCATTATAGTTTTTTATTTGGTTCTTCATCTAGGTAATAATGGTATTTTTTTACAAGAAAGTAAACATAGCAACTACCTTGATTCATAAATATCATTTTAAACTTTATTGACAAAACAAGTAAGAGAAAAAAAATCATAAGATGATGAAGAAGAAGAAGAAGAAGAACATTCTAGAAAAACAAAGTGGTACCACACTTAAAAGTACATTTAAAGTTGTCATTTATGTTTACTTTAATTTATCTCATAATTAAACAACATAATTTTATATTCTAAATTTATTGTAACCATCTTAGATTACATAATGCATCTTGAAAAAGTTTATAATGTAACATTATCTTAGGATAGAATATGAGTTGGTCAGATATGATAATTTATCTTTAAGATTATTGGTGAACAATGATCGGCTGGAGAGTACTATTCGCAATGTTGTTGAGGGGAATATTCTTTCTAAAGAACTGGAGATTCTTCTTTTTAGGGTGTGTGTGTGTGGCTCTGTCACCCTTGAATTCGATGTTCATGTATAAAGTTTTCTTTTCTATTGTAGTTATCTGTGTTTTTGGCATTTTCGGCTTCATGTTCTTATCAATGAATATCGAAGGATATCCATTTTTAATAAGTATCTCCTTCAAGTGGCCTAATTTTTCATCTATGACTTCATGACTACAGATTCGTCGTATTCTTGTTGCGAGTGTTATTACTAAGTCCTTTTTTTCGACTAATGGGGGCCCAGCTGTGAAAACTTGATAGGTGGCTATTCCACATGGGTTTCCTGTAGATAGATCTTTTCAAAAGTACCATCTTCCTTTTTTGTCATTTACACGTCCAGAAAGTGGATATTTTGTTTGTTTCGAACTTCTAATGTGAATTTTATTGTTGGGTGACAATTATTAAATGTCTTCAGAAGATGACTTAAGTTATATTTGTTGTCACGAACGATAAAGATATCATCTACGTATCTTTTATACAAGTGAAGTTTTTCTATAGTCTCTTTGAATTGATTGTTTTCTAAACTGGTCATGAAGCAATCTGCAAGTAATGGACCCAGAGGGAATCCCATCGTTATGCCATCCTTCTGTCTATAAATTACGTCGTTGAACGTAAACTGTACGAAGAGGAGGAAGCGGCTCAATAAGATGCTCAGTAATTGAACACCTTGTGAACACAGGTCAATCAATCAAAACAAACTCTGCGTTCAAAGTCCTCTACAATGTAAGTAGAAGTCCCCCAAAAATATGATGTATCATTCGTTATTTGTTAGCTTAATTTAACACTAATTTTTTTAATAGGATTGATCTTAATAATTTGTTGTCTTATAATCGTTCTAGACCCTAACTACACAATCCTCAAAGCTGAACAACAGACAATTGGGGAAATTCAACATTTAATGCGGGGATAAACCCAACATTAGAGAAGGCGGGAAGAATAAATTCAATTAATTCAAATTTGTTGGATGGCATGGCTCGGCCTTGTAGGCGTAATCATTCTTGTGTAGTCTATACCTTTTATTCATATTAAAGATATTGTTCTATCTCCAGCCTAAATGTGTTCTACATCATACATTGGTGATTGTTACGATACGATGATATGACTTGCACGTTCGATCTTATAGATTAGACAGTTACGTCCTGACAAATCTACAATTTTAGGATTAGGTCTATTATTACAGCAGTACTGATAACGAAGTAGACCATAATTCTACAGTTTAATGCTGTTTGACTAATTAAGATTTGAAGATAATTCGTAGGAATGAAATCTTTGCAATGACCTAACATGAAGCTTATTAGTTAAATGAAATAAATTTAAAGGTTTATTTAAGGTACAGTTTAATTTGTTTAATTATCATTCTCATTGTCTTGGTATAAAACATTGGCATGATGATGAAGACAGTTACTAGTGTTTATTCACAAATAGGACCTAATTATACGAAGCGTTAAGAAACTAAAGTTTGTCTAAGAAAAATTTCTAGTTTTGAAGCTTATTTTGATGGAATTCATTACTTAACATACCGAAATTTACTGAATAAAATTCGATCTCATACTATAAAAAAGAATCGAAGTATTAAATCTCTTGAGGGATTTGGTATCTCTACTTTCTAACTAAAGAGGTTGAAAGAGTGTAGGAAGTACAGTAAGAGTACACAGTACAGAGGGTCATATAAAAATTGGGTGTTTAAATAGGATCACAGAATTTTTTGACAAATCAAACACACAAAGTTTAGCTGAATGTCAACTGTATAGCGAAATGTTCCTATTATTTAAAGCATCAAGACCTACTGGAAAAATAAAACAATAAATGGTAATATAAAACTAATGCATGAAACATTTGAAGCAATATGAAGTTGATGTGGATAACATCAGACATTGTTTTTCTTAAATAATGAAGACTTTAGAACAGAAAAGTGAAATTACCGAGTGTCTGATCACAAATATTGAAGTAAAATTGGACCACCTCCTGACGTATCAGTATATGAATCGCAGTAGATAGCAGTAAATCAACTATTATCTATAAATATAAACTATTTCGAACAGTTTGATTAGTCTTGATAATGACGAAGTTACATTTTACTAGTCGGGATATTACTGAAACACATTCAAATTTAATAGGCATCTAGGAAAATTCTATAGTAAGTGTTTTACATCCATATGGAAATACTAAATACCTATTTGTCTAACTCTACGTTTTAAAACACGGGATTATTTGCATAATATACATGTTAAAATGTGTTAGAATGGTATGAATCAGACTCATATATCCATGTGTATAGGGGTTGTGGAGATTATTAAGTTTTAGATTGCGATCATGAACAGATTGATGTTAGACCACCGTTGAAAACCTCGAAGCACTGTACAGCCGTTTCGTCCTATTGTGGGACTGTACTGTAATGATCTATTGTAAATGTTCCTATTAAAGATATAGATTTCATTTTTCTGGAACCAAATTCAGTATATTATAAATGAATAAATGCTAATTAAATGATGTAAATCGAAATTTTTGTTACAACCAACTACTTCATAATAAGTTAGTGTTACCATCTTGTATTATTATTATTATTACTGATCATCAGTGGTAATTCTATGCATCTCAAAGGTTACAAATCATTTAGAATAGTTTGTCAGTATTGATTCAAGTTGAGTCATTACAATAATAGTACTGAATCTAGTGTATGATATACAAATTTCAGGGTCTTTTTTGAAACATACTTTAGTAGATATGAATAAATAGGAAAGACTATAAAACATGTGAATATATTGTATTATAATTATATACAAACTGAGGACTAACATACAAAGCAATTATTATTTTACTCAACCAACCAACCAACCATTATAGTCATTGTTAATCAACAGATTCATGTTTCTCTTATTATTGTATTTCAAAATGTATCCATTTGTAAAACTAGGCATCGTTCCAAGTCATTATCTTTTGTTTCTTTGGTATCTAATCCATTCAGTTCAGCTATTTAGAAGTTTTTTTAAAAAGAAACTTATTTTGATCAATTTCAGTAATAATAATGTACACACCATTATGAATACCTTCAAATTGCCTGACATCATAATACTAGTGAATTAAGAGAGTTTAACTTAAATAATGCATGAAATATTATATGCAAAGATGAGTAGTGGCTAGCAGTGGAATCCAGGATGCAAGTTGCATCCCATTTGGGACTCGTCAAATGGATGTACCTACATCCCTGAGTTGATGTTCACTCTGAGATTCGAATCCAGTACCATTCGCTTCAAGCACCATTGCGTTATCTACATAACTACTTAGTCCTCATAGCCACTTGCTTGTGCAATCGGGTGAAGTTTAAATTCACTCGGTAAGAAAATTCAAACAAACAATACCAAATGAATTTGGTGCATATAACATTTAAAGTAATACGAAGTTCAGATTTTTCCATACAGTTGTAACATGGACAACATCAGACATTGTTTTTCTTTCCTAAATAATGAAGACTTTAGAACAGGAAATTGAAATTACCATATGAATTAAGAGAGTTTAATTAAACTTTTGTAATTATCTTAACTATTGGCAAATAGGACGAAACGTGCGTCCAAAATTCCACTACTAGCCACTATCCATGTTTGCTTAAAAAAGCTCGTGACTTAAGGTTATATCGAGGCAATCCACACAGAATGTACAAATGCCAAAATGAGACTAATCAATTACAGTCTAAATAAAAATGGGAATATATGAGTGAAACAACATCAAGGGAATATTGGCAATTACATTCAAAATAGCTTGATTTTATTTTTGTTAAGCAATCTTACATGGAATATATGCATAAACTTGGTAGATTATATATATACATTGGTATATATCAAAGTATATAAGCATTATCAAATGTACATTATTACAATAGTTTCCTTTTTTCAAAATGTAACCAATCCCTTAGTAACAAGATTTTCATTTTAAGCCAGCCATAAGTATTAACCTAGTAACAACCAATCATTTCAAACATCATCATATCAATTAATCTATAAATAGAGTGATATTTCAGTTAACTGTTAACAAAACATTACACTAGTGTTGTTGTTTATTTGGGTGGTGACCAATAAGTAATAAACAGGTAATGTGTATTTTTTAAATTATTTCTATAGCGTTATATTATGTAATATAAATGAAATTGTAATTGTTTTTGGTGGAGTTTTGTGCTGATGATGCCGTTCAGAAGAACGATGAAAGCCCCACGACCAAACCATCCAGCTCAGAGAACAAAACTCCACCAAAATCATCCACCTGAGCTACAAATCTTCTCTACCATTGTAATTGTTTGCTAAAAATTTTCCTTAATTTCCATCTTAAAATTATTGTTTAGATTGGAGATAAGAGATTTAATGAAAATTGAAATAAACCATTCATGATACTTAGACATGCTAGCTATGAAGAAATATGTATTGTTGTTTGTCACTAAATACATATTTTAGAAATTTCAATGGTTAAGATCGTGAGTCAATTGAAGCCAAACCAACATGGAAAACGTGGAAGCACTGGACGGCCATTTCGTCCTATTGTGGGACTCCTCAGCAGTGCGCATCCACGACCTTGCCTCCTGAGAGATTTTAGAGTTCTTAAAACATTTAATGTAATCAGGGGCAAATCATCTATCATATGGTTACACAGTAATCGTTTCTATCAGTCAAGCTTTATCTGACTACTTATGTTGATGCCTAAAACTAAATGGAATTGATCATAATCATATGTAATACCAGTCGGTGAATTTGTATCGACAAGTGTGTAATCACTAGTAAGAATCTGAGAGATAAATATGATCTACGGTTTGAGATAGTGATGGAAGATAAGCAATATTTAAGTTGATCATATAGAAATGTAGCAACCAGTAACATTTACATTTAAACTATGAATTGGTAAGATATAAAACTGAAACATCCAATACTCCTCTGTATTTATTTTAAATTAGAGCTCAATATCATTTCATCCTTCTTAATATTAGGCTTCAGTCATTTTGTTTAAAACCATTTTTATCATGTTTAGCTTTCGACTACATCTGAAATTACTTCTTCCCTTTACTGCTTCTTATTTTATTAACATCCTTTCCTACTATAAAGATAAGAAGTGTGTTTATTTGGGCCGACACACACTTATCCGAGGTCTGTGAATGACCTCCTCATTGAATGACTGCCAGTTTCGAAAAGAAATTCCAGACAAACATAAAATTAGATGTGATAACTATATTGCCTTCTCTTGAAGCCAATACTTTAACTATATGACATACTTTGATTTTTTGTTTGATGACTACACTGTTCTTACATCCATGAGATCAGGATTTTTCAATATTCAATAATTAATCAAGTGAAAAGAAAGTAATTTTGGATAGATATTTATTCTATATACATTGAATACATTCTTATTCAAGAAAATAATTTACCATGGTAATGACCATATGTTTCCAACTTGGTAATGTCAAACCAGTTAATGGTAGAAAATGGTTTAGAGTTATAGAATGAATAAAAGCTAAAACGTTAACCAGATCTGAATAATAATGACTGAATTTCAATTCAATATGAATGATGTGGCACATGTATATTGTGTTAAATTTGAAATCAGTCCATCACAAATAAAATTTTCAGTACAGATAAGTATTTTGTGTAGTAAAGATAGTTTAAAGAATTTGGATTGTTATAATTGATGGTCAACTGTTATGACTGTGTCATCAATTGTTATATCTGCTTGTCGCTAAGTGTTTTGTCTGAATCGTTTATTCCTTATACTCGTGAAAACGAGGAAATCACTGCCATTCCCACGATGTGAAAGTAAGAACAGAAACACTGATACAGGTGAAGATTTATTATTAACCTCAAAACACGACGACGACTCTAGTCGATAATACACTCACCCCTTTTTTGGTTAATAATTAGGATAAAATCACGTATACGATAAATACTTAGAGTTATAACATAATACATGCTACATGTCATGCTGAGCATAGTCCATGATCACTCCATACAAGAATATCGTATGTTATACAAAATGAAATATAATACAGGAAAATAGAAACAAACACTACACTGAATAATTATCGCATAGAATTGGAATGGAAGTAAAGTTGATTAGAAATCATAATGAGTAAAAGAATGCAATTTAGACTATTCTCCGCGTCATATCATGGATAATTAACCATAAATAACTACTTAAGAATTCAAATCCACTGTTAGATGTTTCACTGAGACTACAAAACAGAGTTTTATATCATCATATAATTCATATCTTCAATGTAGTACATTAGTTGATCTGTATGTAAAAGATATTTTATATTTATGGATTGAAAAGTGATGAACTAATTAACCACACTTATTATCAGAATGGGTTTTGTGGAGATTTTACAAATTTCAATAGTTGAAATCACGAGTCAATTGAAGCCAAACCACTATGGAAAACCTGGAAGCACTGGACGGCCGTTTCGTCCTAGTATGGGACTCCTTAGCAGTGCGCATACACTATCCCGCCCCCCCCCCCGCGAGATTCGAACGCAGGGCCTATCAGTCTCGTACCAGGCGCTTAACCAACTAGACCACCGAGCTGGCATCCAATGGTGTTAATGTCTAACTTCAACCAATCCACGAAGTTGCGCCACCGTACACCATTTTCTTCAGTGAGTTGATATCTCACAACCATACTTATATCTGTACTATGAAAAAGTAAAATATCGGATTGAAGTAAGCAAACACTGTTTTACTGAGTTAAGGTTAATAAAATAGTATTACACTTTATAGATTTACATAGATATTACTAATTAATCAAGCTATGAATCTAGTCACTCGATAGATTAAATTAGTTCTATACTTAAAATGATACATAATATCTAATCAGTACCATGTTACCAATAAATTATTCATAAAAGGAGTTACTTTATTTATGATGTATACTAAAATAATGATATATATAAAATAAGTCATATGAAAGTAAGTAGTTAGAATGATCTAGAAGAACACTGAAGTATAATTTCTCATCAACGTGTTAGGGCGGTGGCGGCGGTGGTGGTAGCAGCGGGTGGGGGGGGGAAGAAATCACAATCATCATGTAATACTTGTTAATCAATATTAATGTATCATGATTATAAATAGATTATTGACAAAATCTAAAAGATCTTCTATTGTTTTGTCAAATAAACAGATCATACTGACGGCGTTCATTTGTTCTCTATATATAAATACAGTGATACCAAACAAATGTTGTTCGGAGTAAACAAGTTTATTTTTTATTTTGTTTATCTTTTGCTTTATATTACACTATATAAAGCATTGTATAATGAATGAATGATTATTGTATTTTCTTTACAGAGATCAACTACAGTTCAACGGTGAGAAATCATTTAATTTAATATTCTTTTATGAAAAAAATATATTCATTGATGTTGATGTCAGATACTAACACCATTGGATGCTGGCTCAGTGGTCCATTAGGTTGTCCAGTGCTTCCAGGTTTTCCATGGTCGTCTAGCTTTAAGTGACTTATAAATTCAACTATTACTATTACTATAATATCCATAAAACTACTTTCCTATTGTAATTGCATTTCATGAAAGGTTGCGAATCTAATTATTCAGAATATATACTAATTGATTACTTAGAATTTATGTTTGGCTTTGATCTAAACTTCCTGGTATAGATTTTATAAGAATACAACAAACGTTATTTTTTCTTTCTAACCATGAATATATGATTTGGTTGAGGTTAGACATCAACAGCTGTCTTATAGATTAGACATTTAGGTCAAAGGCTCCGGTTGTGGTCCCCTATGAAAACCACTGATTTCGGTTTGGTCACCTGGATAGTATCATAGCCCACACACAAATCAATTGATTTATGTGGCACATATCTATTTAATGCTTCCTTGTACCAATGTTTATATGTTTAAATAATAATAATAATAAGATATAAGATTGAGGATTTCATTTCACTCTCACGTCATCTAACAACACGACACTGTAGCCTATCTCACGTCGCTGAATGGAAATGTTATTCAAGTGTAATTTAGTACTTATCATTAAATCCATAGTGAAAAAATGCTTATTCAGTGAATGAATAAAAAATGTCCGAAAATCCGCTTTTCATCTTTATTAAAGACTACAGAAAGGATGGTTATCCTCACGCCTTTGTTGTCATTGTCGGTAACTAATGCATCTACTGTAAGAGTACTGAAATTATTAGGGGAGGTTATTTCATTTAATTATTTTCTGTCATACACTTTGAATGAATTATCATTCATATGTCAAACACTGAAAAATAAATGATAGCACTATATTATTTATGTCTATAACGTTCTAGTTATAATTTTTTTTGTAATCGGTTTTGAAGCATTATTTGGGTAAACACTGACGACACTCCCAGGATTCCGAAGTCGAAATGAGTGGAACAAAGTTTTAGAGTATAGCTTACGGGTTAGGGATTTGGTGAGATTGTCTAATAAGCTCATGTCTTTTTATTCACATAACTTATTCGAGGTTATGATGTAATTATAAACTTGAAGTATGATGGTAAATAAACATTCATCCGTTTTTCACAAACATACGAACAAAGAATGATTATTTTAACTGAATAATTGCTGAACTCTGATTACCTTGTTCATATTTTGGCAGACGAACAACACCATAAATTAAAAACCTTTTTGTTAAACTGACCCTTTCACTGAAAAATGTTATTATGAGTGTGAATTCAAAAAATTAATGATTAGATTGTACCGTGGCGTTGAGTCGCGGTTGACTATGATCAGCACTACAAGAAGGTTACGTACCAGATATCAGAAGGCACTTGGAGGTTGTAGCGAAGTATATTTGTTAGTGATCTCGTGGTATCGAAAGAATACTGAGATAGTGCCAAAGGAGTACAAGTGGATTCATTGAGCAAACGTAAGTTCGTGGAAGGTCACAATCAACGGAACGAAGAATGGTAGAATAATGGATGTCTTTAGTAAAGTTAAACAAACAAGTACAGTAAAACAATCCCTGGTACAATTGGTTATAATAGTAATTGTTTCCATTACACCAATCGCGTTCTGTTGTCAAAAATAGGTCACTACAGTATCATGCTTTAAGTTTATCATTGTAACCGTTTACTTTGAAGTTTATTCCTGCATGCAGTAGTATTAGTGTAGTAAATAAGTGTGTATTCATATAAACAAACGTCTTAGTAACTGGTCAATGTGGGATTTGAACCAAGAATGAAGACTAAATAACAATCACCTTATTTCACATTGTGTGTTGAATATATTAAGTAATTATATATATACATGTTTATGGCCTATTGTTTCCGTCAGCCTGAAGGAAAGGAATAGTGGAGTCTTACAAGTCTATCGAAAGTTAGGGTTATTTTTTTGTTGTATTATGTTATTGTAATTATTATTATTATCATGACAAATGTGCATTACAAAAACGTTTCCTTATACCATTTCGTCTGTTAATTACTCACAAGCAGGAAACATGTAAGTTAGTGTTTTCCATAAAGAAAGAACTTGCTGTAATTAAGTTCGCTATTTTACATTTATAAACAGCTCCATGTATGTTAATTTATGAAACTTTTGATTTTTTTTTAGGGGAAAAGACGACGATCATCAGTAAGCTGAGATAGTTTAAGACATATCTTTATATGTAATCTGATGTAGAAAATATTTATGTAAGGCCCAATTATTTACAATTGTTGATGAAAGAGTTATGGGGAAATTGATTTGACTTTTTAATCGATATTCTTCTCAAACTAGTCTCTATCAAGATCATATTCGAAAGGGGCTAGAACTGAACAATATTATGGAGCTCCTCTGCATTCTACAACTACATAACTGGCTTGGATAAAACCCATGACTTTTAAGCCCGGTTTCATGTTTAACGCATTATTCATACATGCTCAACTTCAATGAACTCATAATATAGCACGAGAGTTATTTAATCCTATTGGTTGCAATTAATTCACTTTTGAATGATTAACTCCTTACGATAACGACTTCTCATTTGAAATTCAAGAACTTACCCTGAAGTAAATCACTACTGAACGGAAGATTATTGTATTAATCTAAGAGTTTTGTGTAGATTGATCCAAATAGTATGCGAAATTTTTCACAGGACAGCAAAACAACTATCAAGTGCTCCATGGTCTCTACTAATACTTAAAATGAGGTCGAACTCTCATAAATAACACTTAAGAACTACATGTTAAGTATCTCAAAATTATTATTTAGACTGATCGGTAGTAATTAATAAACGCTTTCCATAATAAACTAATGAAGGATTTTCTTTCAAACTCAGTTTTAGTAAATATAACTCTAAAACTTCTATGAAACAGTCATGCTCTGTTATAAACTGATTGACCTAGATTATTCTGTATTCATGTTCTTACACATTCACTCTTTCATTCATTCAGTCAGTCAGTCAGCTACAACGTAGGACCAGGCACATATGTGCATCGGTCCAGGTTGCCATACCTCATTAGCACAGCAAGATGAACACCGGATTCATAGCAGTGGTTAGGTCAAAGGTTGCAATAAGGATATAGTATAGGAAGAAAGAATTAGTTAATAGAAAGAAAGATATGAAGTGATTTTAATCTCTTAGTTTAAGGGAAGACAGGGAGTGTATACACCGACGCCATTGTGATAGATTCTGAGCCATGTCACACAGAGTCTCCAGCCATTGGTTACCCCAACCAAGTAGTCTGCATCTACCAACATGGCTCAGACTAGAAGTTAGTGACTTCAGGCACTGATGCCACGTTTTGGTTTGGCCGCCCCTAACTTTCTTCCAACCATCCCCTACACCGGTTAGCATTGCACGTCGTGGTAATCGGTGTTTGGGCATACGTAACACGTGACCCAACCATCTCAGTCGATGAAGATTCACAACCTCATCAACTGATTTACCATCATTCCCTAATACCCTGAGTCTAACCTCACTATTACTTACCCGGTGATCCCAGCAGATGCCAGCAATATTTCTAAGGCATCTGTGGTCAAATACTAGTAGCTTACGGGTGTCTTCCACTCTTAAAGGCCATGTTTCGCTGCCGTAAAGTAAGACAGAACGGACTGCCGCGCAGTATACTCGTCCTTTTATTGATAGACGGATATCTCGCCTCCGCCAAAGGTGACGTAAGTTGGCAAAAGCCAAACGAGCTTTTCGAATCCGTGCTGAAATTTCGTCAGACACCAACCCATTAGGGCTGATCAGACTTCCAAGATAAGTGAAGTTGTCGACGCGTTCGACTACTTCACTCCCTATCCTTAGTTCAGGTGTTGACGCAGACCAGTCCTGAAGCAACAACTTGCATTTAGAGGGAGAGAAGCGCATCCCAAACATTCTGGCATTGTTGCTTAGTGCTACCAAAAGACTCTGCATTTTGTCAGCGTCTTCACCAAACAGGACTATGTCATCTGCGTATTCTAAGTCGATAAGTGGACCTCCTGGAAGGAGATCAATACCCGAGAATTCAGTCGACGAGAGTGTTATTTCCATCAATAGGTCTATGATGAAGTTAAATAAAAATGGAGAAAGTGGACAGCCTTGACGGACACCACTTGAGGTTGCAAAAGTAGATGACAGTTCGCCATAAGCTCTGACTCGACTAGTAGTGTTCGAGTAAAGAGCCTTCACAAGGTTTATGTACTTCTGAGGTACGCCTTTCAATGACAGACACTGCCACAGAGTCTCGCGGTCTACAGAATCAAATGCTGCTTTTAAGTCAAGAAAGACCACCATCGTCGGACGCCGATAGGTATGCCTGTGTTCTAGAACCTGACGAATGGTGAATATGTGGTCGATGCAGCCACGACCAGGTCTAAAGCCAGCTTGGTTCTCTCGAGTTTGTAGTTCACGAGTCTTAGTTAGGCGTTTGATAATTATCGAGGCCAGTATTTTAGATACTATGTTTGTTAAACTAATCCCTCTGTGGTTGTCACAGGATGATTTTGACCCTTTCTTATATATTGGGACGATAAGTGATTGCGACCAGTCAGATGGGATAAAGTCTAATTCCCAGATCTTAGCTAAAATATTAGTCAACCTAATCGCTAAAATTGGGCCACCATCCTTAAAGACCTCTGGAGCCAATCCATCTGGACCAGCTGCCCTTCCTCGTTTCAGATTAACTATAGCCTTTTGAACTTCAGCAAGAGTTGGGGGACCTACTTCAATGTTCCATTCACACTGTCTGGGAATAGAGGGTAGTTGTACAGTAGCTGAAGGCCAGCTGAACTGTTCTCTAAAATGTTCCGCCCATCGTTCTAAACGCCTGGACTGGGAGCAGATGAGAGTATCATCTTTTTCCGAAATAATCTCACTTACACTTGACTTATTAATTCCAGTTTCTTTTATTAGTCTGTAAAGCTGTCTTGTGTTCCCTATAGTCGCCGCCTTTTCCATCTCTTTTGCTTTCGTTACCCACCACTGCTCACGGTCGTTCCTTAGACTTTTTCTTAACCTAGATCTGATTTGTTTTCGCTCTTCATCATGTTCAGAACCTGATGGGACGAGTTTGCGAGAATCCATCAGTGTGACAGACCTTGAAGAAATCCACTGGTTCCTTGAAACTCTGTGGTTTAAGTCACTAATAGATGTCACTGCTGTTTCCACAGCTGCTTGTATTTCATTCCAAGCAACATCTGGGTCAGCCTCGTCTTCACAACTACCTAAGTGTGACCTCAGTTGTTCCTGGAACCTACTTTTGATTTTCTCGTTACTCAACTCAGTTCTGACGGGTCTTTTTAATGTGGCTTTTTTGCGTCCAGTGAGGCGCAAGCAGATGCGTGCCCGTATTAGGGCATGGTCGGAGTCCAAACAGGTACTCCAGAATGAGCGACAATCTTCTACCGACCCTCTCCAACGATGACTGATGGCAATATGGTCTATTTGAGTCCATCGTTGGTTTGGTGTAGGGGGTCGCCATGTTAGACGATGTCTCTCCTTATGCTTAAAATTTGTGTTTGCTAAAAATAAACGATTGTCTGAGCATAGCTGCAGCAGACGATCACCATTATCTGTTCGCTGTGTCGGAACACTGAAATATCCACCTAAATGCCTTTCTGTTTGGTTTAAGCTACCTATCTGAGCATTAAAATCACCTGCTACGAGTACTATGTCTGAGCGTTTAGCTTTCTGAAGAAGTTCGGACAGCTTTCTGTAAAATTCATCTTTCACTTCATCTGAGCTGCAGTCAGTGGGAGCGTAGGCAGAAACGACAAAAAGGCAACGACGTGTGTCCCTATCCTTCCGAGTTCTTACGTAGCCGTTCAGCCGAACAGCACATAGACGACTGTTGACGGGGATCCACTCTAGCAGTGCTTGTTCGGCCCTCATGCTTAGTGCTATGCCTACACCTGCCAGTCCACGAGAACTTGCCATCGGGTCACCAGATACACGAAGGGTGTATCTTGTTGGCTCTCCGTTTTGCCGAGGTGAGGTCAAGTGAATAACCACACTGGAATCCTGTATGCGTGTTTCGGAGACACAGCATACATCAATGGAAAGAGACTCTAGGGTTTTAGCCAAGGAAGCCTGCTGACCGATTTGACATAGGGTGCGTACGTTGAAGGCTCCAATGTGTAGTTTGGAGCGAGGTTTCAGTAGACCTGGGACAGTGTTTTGCGCACTAGAATCGTTGGCTATGGTGACACTTGAGGTGGAAGCCGAGAGAGGAAATTTAAAGTTGAAAGTCGATGTAAGAGGAAAAATAGGAATTGAAGAGGGAGGTTGATTATGAATACAGTGGTCTTGGGTGCTGTTAGAGGTATGAGGGCGGTTATCACTTCCCGGTTGCCCACACCGTGGAAGGGTTCTTCTGGAGGTACCTGAAAAGGAAATTGGATTAAAGGTGGTCTTAGTGACCTGAGAGCGTGACCGCAGTGCCCAAGGGACAACTGCTTGAGGCCGGTCGCGCACGGCCTTTTCGTAGGAGGATTTTGACGTGTTAGCTCCGTTCTTCAAAGGGCCTTACCGCCGGAGACGGAAATCCGTGAGGTAAGGTGAGGTGTGCATTTTTAGGGTCGACCTTTTCTAACCCCACCCCTCCTTGTGGGAAGGCAGCATCGCTGTCATGCTGGTTGTCTGAAGGAAACACCTTACTGCTGTCGCACCTCTGTACAGTCAGCAGTACGACTTCGCCTTCGGACCTTGGGTTTGTTGCTTTTAGTCTTACCGCTCTTCAACCGACCTGTCTGACATGGTAGGACCTTGAGGAACGGTTGTTCCAGCCAGTATAGCTCGGTTGCTTCATCACGATAGGCAAGCCCGACCACCACGTCAAGGTAGCAATCAAGCACTTAACAATCTCCACAACACCTTAACTGATAATTACCATGTGCTCACTAGTGTCTAGCTTCGTTAGAAAATTCTCAGAGTTCTGGTGAGAAGCCATAACCAGTGTCTACCTCAATACAATGGAAGATGGTCGCGCAATTCCGTGGATTGATTGAAGTTAGACATTAACACCATTGGATGCATGCTCAGTGGTCTCGTTGGTTAAGCGCTTGGCGCAAGACTGATAGGTCCTGGGTTCGAACCTCGCGGGGTGCGGGATCGTGGATGCGCACTGCTGAGGAGTCTCTTACCAGGACTTCCAGGTTTTCCATGGTGGTCTGGCTTCAACTGACTCATGATTTCAATTAAACACATACAATGTAGTTATTTCGAACATTGTAATTATGTGAATGAAGATTTTTAACAAAGCAATGGAAGGGAATATGGATTTAGTGAGAAGTTACTCTCTGTATACTGACATTCATCATTACGGGAAAAATCGAAATAGGGCTTCAACAAATCAATATATTTAGATCCATATTATTATACTTCAGATTTTTGAAATAGACATTTACTATGGATGTTGTTGTTATTATATTTGTTTAATACAGTTCAGGATCCAAAGATCAGTACGTTCTTTCAGTACAATTTACCTTTTAGTTCATTAGCTATTCTTTTGTCAAATACTTTCGGTAATGTACTTTATTTAAAAACTTGTGAAGCTAAATGGAAACAATGAATGAACCTTTACTTCATAATGTCAATGTGAAAGATAATTTTGTTTTCATTAAACCATTTAGAAAATCTAGAATATCTAGACTAAAGTTACCATTAGAGAGATCTAGATTCAGACTCAATCGTTCATGTTCAATATCACAGTATATATTAAACAAAGATTTTAACAATGTTAATTCTTCTTGAACACACACTGCGAAGTATTCATTTCAGTTGAGAATATGGTTTATCTTCAATAATTTTATTGACATTTGTCCTTATTTAAATTGAATGAGTTCGATCCTCTGTGAGAAAGATTTATGCAAAGTCTAGATACTTAAATAATTTCGAATTTCTAACCGTGATTTTGTTAATTATGTGGAAGTACTTAACTGACTTGGTACTGAGACTTCGTGAATCGGACGACTCATGTAAGAACATGAAGACGATAATTAAAGGTTTGTTTGACTCAACAAAATAAATCAAAATCACATTTTGAATACACTACTTTTTCTGTGATTTATTTACATTCACATTAACCGCTAGATTCGTATAAACTGAACTAAGGAGCATCTAACATCAATTAGTTAATAACTTATAGTGTGAACAAATATTTACCGTATCATATAATCAAGCATCTATAACCAATAGGAATAACCAAGTAACTAAGTTATATAATTACCTGTTTTCAAAATACAATTATACATCAAAGACGATTGAGAAACATTCGATGATGGGAATTTGATGATCATATATGTGTACTGATTAACCATAATGAAAGATTTTAGGTGGGAAATCAATAGCTGTGGTAGATAATATGAACTACTTCTTCACCTTGAAAGGTTGAAATAAAATGACTTCACTAACTTAATACTCGACAGTCAAATATAATTGCTCTTCTATTTCTTTATCACACTGCTGATATTTGTGATAACATAGTGAAAATGAGAACTATATTTACTAAAAAGCAAGATAAAACTGAAAACTCAAATAGACTTGTCAAATTGGTTGATTTGGCTAGTAGGCCTCCTATGATGCCGTTAATTAGAGTTAAACAACATGCATTGTTTTCCACTTGTTCTTTTTCGACAATGGGAACAGAAAAGACAATAATTTTACAGAATGCAATGAGGAAAGTAAATGAAACGGTATTGCAACAGCATCCATTTATGTACGACTATTAACAATTTCGTGAATACAGTAAAATCTCACATTGTAAAATGTTATCAAATAAATAATTGAGTGGGTAGATTCACATTATTCATCAAAATTTAACTAACCAAACACTACTAATGAATTACTTAACTGAACACTTACAAGTGGTATTTTAATGAACAAGATCATAGACGAGAATAGCCAAATGTCTCCCAACACATTACACAATATCTTGGTAAAATCTGAGAACCATATAGTAAATAATTCATTTGCAAATTATCCATCGATTGTCCTCAACTTTGTTGTTCCTTCGTTTCTATACCAATCACTCCCTGTTCTTATTCTCTTCTCTTTGATTTTCTCAATCGTCTGCCGCCAGGCACTCCATTTTTGATTGATGATACATACTACTTATATTTGTCGACATTAGTAGTACACACCATAGTACTATTTTCTACAATGTTTCTCATCTATCTTTAATGTTTGTTGTGCCAACCAACTCTTTCATGATACTTGACTAATTGTTGGAGATAGTTTGTTATTTAATTATTATGTTTACCTTGATAAATTACCAAATAAAACAATGATTTGACTATTTTTTTTACTTTCCTTTGTATTTAGCAAAAAAGATAAACCTCAGTAAGAAATCATGTTTAGAGTAAACAAGAAACCAATGCATTTGTTCCATTAATTCATACACCATTACATGTGAAATTGCTTTCTTTATCAAAGATTTCTATGGATTAACTCATGTATAGTATCATATCGTTAAGTTAAACGAGATTAAATATGACCTGAAAATAAGAAATTGTTTCCTGTGTCATGCATGTATAAACATATAATGTTCTCTTGCACTATTCATTCTCCATTCATAACATTATCAAATTATTGATGGTAAGTCAGTTGATCAATATCATCAGAAAGAATGACACATAAGCATGTTGGACAAGTTACCATGTCAGAGAAATACAATGAGATGAAAATGAACAAGATAAAAAGTAAAAAGAAAGTGAAACAATTTAATGGAAATGATAATGAGAAAAACCGAAGATTATGAACGTGGAAGAGATTGATTTTGGCTATCAGTGGAATCAAGGACACACATTTTGTTCAGTTCAGGACTCGAACTAATTATCTTTAACTCCGACTATCCAGTACGGTAGCCATTTAGCCACTGAAATCAGACAACCACTCATTTGTGTAACAGTTACGGACTTAATATCATTATTTGGATGGGTTTGGATTATCCCGTTGTTGATACTGTTTGACTCTTGAAGTTAATATCAACACTAGGATGAAGATATATTCAGCTAACGATTCCTAAATAGAATTAAATGTGTACCCTAAATTAACTTCTAGCCACAATAAACCTATTACATAAAAACTTATAAAAAAAGTCATATTGAGGCAACATGCACAGAATATACTATGTCAGTGAAGACTGATCGAGATTCGGTCATTAATATTAACAGCAGAACAATCCAAACCCATCCTAATAATAATGTTAAGGGTATGTTTTAGAGCGATTGAGTGTGAAGGTCTGTATGAAGGAATTCAAGATCTAGAGAAAGATAGAGAATCAATGCATCAACGCTATTGTGACTGATTCCAAGCCAATATCAATCAAAGCTCCTAACCAGTGATTACAGTTATTGTGCGGACTCCAACCAACTAGTCTACATCTACCAACAATTAGTGACCTTGTTGACTGATGTTACGTCATGGTTCGATTGTACCTAGCTTTTTTCCAAACTAATTCTACACTAGTAAACACCTCTAGCCATGGTAGTGAGTGGTTAGGTACAATTAACAAAAGTCTTAACCACATTAATCGATGAAGGTTTACAAACTCATCAACCAAAGCTCAGTAATAGACTGGTTATGTTTAGCCACTATGAAACAAATTACTTATATAAAAAACAAGATACTAGCAGACCCAAGTTTGATAAAAGTAAGTATAGAACTTCTAAAAAAAGACCACCATTCTCATGAACAGGTGGCTTTGTGAAATCAGTGAAATCAGTTCAATTTATAAATACAACACTTGAAACAATTAGTTCCTATGATAAATTTCAATGGCATAATAAGAAGACGAAGATATTCATACCTATATGATATTTATTAGCATAATACATTTCGAACAGTCTGATCATTTACAAGTGATTCAAATAGTCTTTTTTGAAACAAAGGTTTAAATCAGACGTATTATCCAGTAAAGGTCATTATCAAGGAAAGAACGAGGTTCATGCTTCATGGAAAACCTAAATGAGATGAAAACGATTGCGTCACATCCCACTATGTTTACCAATTTAAATATATATGTGTTCTTACATACATAGAGAGGAGTAATCGTGATCTCAATATTAGGGTATCTGAACATGTTGCAGAACATGGTTGCAGAAACAAATAAAATCAAATGACCCAATAAGAGTAGAGCCTAAACATCCATCATCCTCTATTGCCAAACACATAATTGAAACAGCTCATAAGATTGATCTTAACTCAGTTTTTGTGGTGTAAAAGGGCGTATACTAAAGTTTATTGAAGCCTTAGCCATACGAAAATTCAAACCCCTTCTGTGTATTCAAAATCAGTTTGTTCTCACCTTAAACTTACCCTGGGAATATTAGCTTATTATCCAGAGTGATGAGGTTTCAAATTGTTTTCACATTATTTCTTTATTATCCTTGCCTCCTCTTACACTCCATTTCTAGTCCAGTTAACCTTTTACTTCTTTATAGATAAATGTTTTTAAAAAGTATATATGTGATCAGATTGTTCGAAATGTATTGTGCTAATTATACAATCACATAGTTCTGATAATCTTCGTCTTCTCATTACACTATTGAAATAGAAGATTGTTTAGAGTTTGAATTATTTTTTCCGGTTATGTTTTCTTAAAGAGATAGTTTTCTACGGGATGGGGTCGCTAACCCAATGCTTAACCCTCCCCTCTTATCCGGGCTTGGGACAGGCAGTAGCCCCAGAGGAGCTCCAGGCAGAGTGACAACATTGTTTATGTAGACAATAAACAGTTTTCTTAAGTTCCTTCTTTATATTTGAATGAACTTGGAATGTAACAGTTAGAAAAACACATACTTTAATTTCACCTAGTGACTATATTTTAAAACTTTATTACGCTCTAGGGATGTTCGAAGAAGTTTGTTTTACCCATGGTAGCTTGGTTTTTCTATTTATTAACAAATTACTTTTAAGAAAATGTTGTGATTGTTATTCAATTAATTTTTCACATTTCTAGTAGCTCTAAGGATAAGTAAGAGATTTTAGTTGTTTTGTTTTGTTGGTATTTTTTCTTTAATGTTATTCATCATCGTAATAGTTTATAATCAAAGAGGAGTTTTGTGGATAATACAGTAATTTAATAGTTGAGATCATGGGTCAATTGAAGCTAGACCACTATGGAAGACCTGGGAGCACTGGAAGAACGTTTCGTCCCATTGTAGGACTCCTCAACAGTGCACATTCACGACCTCGCCTCACAAGATTTGAATCCAGGACCTATCGGTTTCGCGCGCGAACGCTCAATCTGTAGACTACTGTTACTTTATCCAACGGTGTTAATGTCTAACTTGAAAAAAAACGTCAAAAATTTCACGAATTATTGAATATTGTATGGTTATTTCTTTTTATTTCTAAGAAAAAAAGACGAGCATAGTCAGTAAGTTTTGTGTTTTTTAATAAATTTATAAAATGAGTCAACTATGTGAGGTGAATGAAACTTCTTAATGTACAGTACATTCGATACATGTCGACGGTATTAATTTTAGCAGTATTTTACATACTGATAACATGTATTTGTTGCCCTTTGTAGTAACACTGAATTTATAATAATTCAGAGCATTTACGGTTTGTTTGTTTTCTTAAGGAGGTTGTTTTTTGTAACTAGATAGTATATAAGAATTCTGTCTTCAACAGCAAGAAAGAAAAATGTAGTTGAACAATCTCAGCAATGAAATTTGAAGTACATCCAACATTTCTCTCAGCAACCTATTCTAAGTTCTCTTCAACGAGATATAATGAAATATTAAAATTATTGAATATAAATAAGTATATGGTTCTTCCATTAACTGTATAGTAAATATTTCCTTAAATAATCTTGGATCACATTATCCAGGAAAACGTTGAACTTACTTCAAATTCATTAACTAAGATTTTACCAATATATATTTCCTTCTTAATGTCTTACATCAATTCAGCATCCAAATACTCTGAAACTATTGATTCAAACTCAGACGAATGTTTTTATAAAGTGAAACAGCATTTTCTGAATAACATTATTTTAGTAATATCCTTTTTATGAGATGGAATCGCTAGCCCTGTAACTAGGCCTCCTCTTTTACTCAAGCTAAGGATAGGCACTCACCCTGGAATAACTTCATGCTGAATTAAAGTAAAATAGAATAAAAGTAGTAGAAAGTGTTCCTAGTGTTTCTAGACGAATTCATTATTTAATGACTTTCAATCATACTTTTTTTCAGTTTAATGTAATTTAATGTAATTTCTCGTTTACTTCCACTTATAAAAGTCATAAATCGGGTTCAAAACATCGGTGAGTGTTATTATCTTCTTTAATGAATCATATAAATTATCAATGTTCAGTTTATTAAAGAAGCATCAGATATTTTCTGAAAATATCCCTAATGATATATGAAATAAATAACCAAAGATAAGTATATGAGTAGTGAAATATGTTGCTTAAAATTAATAGTAATCATTTCAGTACTTCAAGTAAATCACCAACTCATATTGATAAATCTTACAGTGTAGGTTTCCATGGATTCTGAATAGTTTACAAACGTTCTTTGATATAAGTTAGATGAAAGTTCCAATGATAGTTTATTAGGTTTATTGACATGTTAACTTTGAATTAATTCGTTATTTGGTTAAGTTAGAATGGTGAAGAATAGTCACTATCTGAATAGATTAAGAGGTAATATTCCCAGTTGCAACAAACTGTGACTCAGATTGTAATGCAGTTTGGAGCGATAGGTCAGTTTAGTTATTATATATTCTTTGATATCAAACACTTGCTAGATCAAAATTTACTTGTAGAATTACTTCTCAATTGCCTACAGAAAAACAACAACAGTATTTTGTCACACTTACTTATTTGGAAATAGTACAACGTTACAACTCAATCTATAATACTCGACGAGAGATAAATACGAGAAGCATGATACTGTTAACACCCGGTGATTAGTTGGTGTTAAGTAGAGTAGGACTTACATATTCATAGTGAACTAAATATCAACATACTGTTTTATTATGAATAGATATGCCACGTTTCTTAAACTATGAGTATAACTACATTTATTATTTATCTTATTTATCAAAAGTCATGTATCTCTGTATTTCAATCCGTCTTACAACTGTTCAGGTCTCTAATTACCTATAAGAGTATTAACTTCAAAATCGTGACTAAAACAACTCATAATCTTCTATCGGTGATACAGTTGATACCACTAGTGACAATGATATATATTTATACAGAATTAATGAATGTTAAAATCATTTTCGCCTAAATAGCTTGATCGGTTCGCAAGTTAATTAACTAATATGTTTCTATATTATAATATTCACAATCAATATCTTAGTCCCTATGTATTTTTTAAACAAAACTTTATTTGATTAGTTCTGGATCATCGTAAGTCAATTTTTGATAATTGATCCAAATTTGGAATTGCCATCCAATTTAAATTAGATACATAATGGATATTTACTTTTAAAGCCCCATTATTTTCTAACTTTTATCCCATTACGTCTATATTTTAAAGAAGTTAGAACGGAGCTCCGCAATAAAATGTTCACATTTCAGTTTAATCACTAAATCATAATCGATAGGTGTTCGAGATTACTGAACACCCATTAGAGATTTCAAAATATGAATTACGTAATAGTCGAGTAGATATTCCCTGACCAACAAACGAGTAGATATTGCTGTTCCAGCTGACATTTTTCTTCTAAATTTGTTTTAATCACGTTCTATTAGGTCACGTTTTTTTAAAATTATATTATATTATCAATTTAAAGCTAATATGGGACTACTCAGCAATGTACATCCACCATCTCGCGGGCGGAAATCCGACTCAAGACTTTAGGTCTCCCTTGTAAACGCTGTGGTGTGTTCTTTGATCTTCCGCTTCTCATTCACTCTTGAGGATTTCATGTCAGGGCTTGCCTTCTGGCACAGTTCGGTGCTTTCCTCAATGTGTGTCCTATCCACTTCCAGCGAATCTTCCTGATTTCTTCCTCCGCTACGATCTGATTTGTTCTCTCCAACAGTAGGCTGTTGCCAATAGTGTGTGGCCAACGGATCCGAAGTATTTTGAATAGACAATTGTTAATAAACACCTGTATTTTCTGGATGATGACTTTCGTAGTTCTCCAGGTTTCTGCCTCATACAGTAGAACTGTTTTGACATTTGTATTGAAAATTCTGATTTTAGTGTTGGTTGATAGTTTACTTCACTAGAGTAATATTCCTAAAACACTTACATAAGTTTCAATGATCAATATAACATTATAAATGAACACGTTTTCTGATGGAGTTTTATTCTCTAAGCTGGATGGTTTGGTTGTGCTCACAGAATAAAACTTCATTAAAATCATCTTTCTAAGCTAAAAATCTTCTCCACCATCATCTCATAATACGTTTTCTTCATATAAATCATTTTATCTATACATAAGTGACAATTATATTTCAAAACTATCCGTATATATATAAAACGACTAAACAACAAAATATCATAAAGGAGAATATATTCATCTGATAATCGATAATGTTTTAGCTTAGCACAAAACATTCATCATTCAACAAATCATTGTCAGAATTGTTTTTCAACCTAATTAAAGGAAATAATGTAAAACTGATACTCTATTTTAAGTCATATGGGTTTAGAATGATGTAACCATGTGAAACTGATACCTAATTTTCAATTGAATCTTTTGATTAAATGGCATCATCATAAGAAGTTACTTAATTAAAGCTGATTTAATAATTTTCTTTTTAAGATTTGGTGTGTTCTTGTTTTGTTTCTTTTTTGTTTATAAAATTCCTTATACTTTATCACTATGAGGTTGTGGAGATTGTTAAGTTTCAGATTGAGATCATGAACCGATTGATGTTAGACCACCGTTGGAAACATGAAAGCACTGAACTGTCATTTCGCCTTAATATGACACTCCTCAGCAGTAGTCTAATATCAAATGATTCACGATCTCAATCATTATATTTTAGAATTGTTTGCTAACTTAATAATATCCTTGTTGATATGATATCATCAGTTGGTTTAACGGTATAAATGGATTGTTTGAGATATATTTCTCTTCTCAAGTATGAAACAGTATTAATCCGTCTCTTACAAATTCATCCAATATGTTAAATGTCAATGTAGTTGAAAATGTCATTAAAAATGGGAATTTCAGTCAGTCAGTCAGTCAGCTACAACTTAGGACCAGGCACATATATGCATCGATCCAAGTTGCCATACCTCATTAACACAACAAGATGGACACCGGATTCATAAATGTAGTTAATTCAGAGGTGGTAATATATAAAAGAAAGATTGCATATGAGGATATAGTACAGGAAGAAAGAATTGGTTCGTAGAAAGAAAGATATGATAAGATATGGTAATTTACATTCGTAAATAATCTGAAATATACACTGAATGTCATTCAAATTACGGAATGTGTTTTCAGATTATGAAATATGTAGTTGGTAATAGATTAGAATTATTTTCAAACAATATTGATCTGTTATCATATCATGATCATACTATCCAGTTCAATAAAATGAAACACCATCAAGATCTGATATCATGTATAACTCACCTAATTATAATCAACCATTATGTATTTATAAGATTTTACTATGGTGTAAATTCCAATAAAATCTGAAGTATATGAAAGGATAAAAAGTCCCTCTTAAAATGCTCTCACATGGCCACTAGTATATAGCCTCTGCCACGGATGCACTACTCACTGCCTTCTCGTGGCGGGGGCTTTGTCTACGAAATTGAGAGGACGAATAGCGAATGTCTGGCACTTTAACCGGGTTGGTGGACATGAAGAGTCCACCTAGGGTAGTTAGAAAACCCTTATTCCAAACCAATGGTGCACATGGACTCCAGTACCCTGAAGGACCAAATGGCGTATGAACCAATCGTTGGTCACCGGCTACCATGGGACTCCATCTCCTTACGATGCTCCACTGCCTTGTGGACCATACTTTCAGGTCGAAGGCTTCGGGTGTGGGCCGCTAAGAACACCACCTGCTTCTATTTGGACACCCAGGTAGTATCACAACCCTCACACATATCAAATGAGATCTCTGGTGCCTCCTATCATGAATTTTTCAGAACCTTGTACAGATTTCGGAACCTTAAAATTTAGGTTCTTTCATCACAGTCTATTTCTAGATACTTTATAGAGCCTAAAATAATTTTTTGTTCGATTTCACATACTTCTCAAAGTTTTCATTACATGAGCAGAACAGAAGGTTGTTAAAAAAATTCGTTTGATCGTGTGTAGATAAAAAAACTATCCAATAAAATGAGCTTAAATTGATAAATCATTATTACATCAGTTAATGTTTTGAAACATTAAAGTGGAGGAGAGTTGGGTTCCTAAAATCGCAGCGAATGAATTATGAAGTAAATTCAACGTTTCGCCTGGCAACCTAATTCAAGCTTTTTTCCAAGAGAATATAATCAAACATCAAAATTATCGAATATAAATAGGTACTTGGTTCACCGGTTTACTGTATACTGAATAGATCATCCAATCCACGTTAACAATGTTTAAAGTAGGTATTTGCATTAAGTGTGTAAGAGACCTGTGGTGTGAAACGAAAAGTGTTAAGATAAGCAAGTGGTGTGAGAAGTAATTTATCTCGTCGGTGAATTAAAAAAATACATATAATTTTATATATGATATGAATCCCAAATGTTACACACGTTGATTGGATGATCTATTCAGTATACAGTGAACCGGACAACCATGTACCTATTTATATTCGATAATTTTGATGGTTGATTATATTCCCTTGGAGAAAAGCTGGAACCAGGTTGCCAGGCGAAACTTTAGATTTACTTCAAAATTCATTCGCTGAAATTTTACAAATACATTCTTCCTCTTTAACGTCACACATCAAGTCGGCGCGCAAATACTGTGAATCTATTCGATCAAACTTAGACGAACGTTCGCTTTTTCTGCTCTTGATGTGAGTAAACAGAATGATATGTATTTCCCGTCAGTTGTTTATAACCTATAATCTTTTAAAATCATAATTATTAAAAAGATTCACATTCTCTGTATTAATGCAGCATAGATTCCAATAACATTAATTAAGATTAAACAAAGCAGTTCTAAATAAGTTCGATAAATGAGCGAAAATTCTGGAACATCATAATAGTAACTAAAAATCATAGGCTTCACAATTATTTAATTCTTGAGCTAATTAGCTGAACTAGGTTATCGATGATTCATAGTAACGGGAGTTAAGATAAGGCATTTTGAAAACATTTTGTAATAAAATGAGTTGTAGGG